TTAGGGAAACCATTAACATAAGACTGCCAACATAAATATTTATTGTGAAATTCTGATTTTCGCCACATCTTTTCCAGTGCTGACTATGCATTCAGCAGTTGTTTAAAAGTAATAACAAACCTGGAGAACTGTGGGGCAGCCTGTGGAAATTGCTTTGTGGTTGTAAACTGACTAGTTGTTACATGTTCCAGCTCCACTCGTACCATAAGGGTTTTTCAAGGTGTGCTGATGTAACTTACCACTAAACAATGCTTCTCAGTATAAATTACTAACCTCCTTCTTTTGGCTATTCTGGGTACCACAAACCAGTTTTTAAAACAGTACCAATGTTGTTGATTTGCTATTTATCTATTAGCATATAGTCTGTAACACAACACTAATGTCTGCGTAATCATAGGAGACAACTGACATAAATTTGGTTCAAAACATTTTTTTCAAAATTTCCATGCATAGATACATAGTTCAGCTTAATGGAATATAGATACTTGATGAGAAATATCTAAACAAATGTGAGGAACTTAAATTTATTGGAAAATTCAGTAGGCTACAGTGTTTCACATGGTCCCTAGAAGTTTTCTGCCATATGTTGTTTTAGTTTAATTAGAAACTGTGGTCCCCAGAGTGAGCCAGTTCTGTTCCAATGTTCATTGGAAAACCTCTTTTCTTCTCTGAAGCTACTAACCCAGGTGTCTGATATGAGGGAAAATTTTGCAATGCCAGAAAAGGGTGGGGGGAGTTTCTTATTCATGTGGAATTTTGAATTTCAGGAGGAATTCTGCTATCCAGTGGAATGCCTAGCTCTTACTGTGGAGGAAGTGATGCATATTCGTCAGGTCCTGGTGAAGGCAGAGCTGGAAAAATACCAACAATATAAAGATGTCTACACTGCCCTGAAAAAAGGAAAGGTAGAGCTGTTTAAAGTTGATTGATCAGTAGGGTTAGTTAGCATAATGGTCAGTCCCAGGCATAGTCTCCTGAGGGAGTTGTCCTCTAGCCAGATGGTGCAGGACTTTTAGGGGATTTTAGGAAGTAAGAGGCTTATTCTCCAGTAGACAGTTCCTGTTCTGCCTTGTTCACAAAAGAGAGTATTTTTTTCTCCCTTAGAAATCAAAAACTGTGGGTGGTTTAAAATAACCATAATAAATAATGGTATGCCTTCATAAAACCATGTCTGTCTTGCATTTAATCGTTATATGAGATCTGACAATTAACTTTGAGAACTTATTGCAACAATGTTGCTAACCTTTTTTTGATATCAGAGGGATACTCATTATGAATTTGTGCCAAGTGGACAAACAGTGAACCAAGTTTACTATTTGGAAGTGCTGAAAAGGCTGCATGAAAAAGTTAGACGACCTGAACTTTTCACCAACAATTCATGACTCTTGCATCACCATAATGCACCAGCTTACATTGCACTGTCTGTGAGGGCGTTTTTAGCCAGTAAACAAATAACTGTATTGGGACACCCTCCCTACTCACCTGATCTGGCCCCCAGTGACTTGTTTCTTTACTCGAAAATAAAGGAAATATTGAAAGGAAGACATTTTGATGACATTCAGGACATCAAAGAGAATACAATGACAGCTCTGATGTCCATTCCAGAAAAAGCGTTCCAAAATTGTTTTGAAGGGTCAGTACATAACTTCCCAAGGGGAGTACTTCGAAGGTGACTGTAGTGATATTCAGCAGTGAGGCATGTAGCACTTTTTCTAGGATGAGTTCTCAAACTTAATTGTTAGACCTCATACTTTTAAGGATCTAGAAAGGAAAAAACCTGAGAAACAGAGGAGACTTTCAGAACCTTCTTTAGATTGCTTCCATGATAGTGAGAGTCTTGAGAGCTGTGGCCTTTTAATAGTTTTAAAAGTAGAATTATAATTAAATACAGAGCCAAATTATAATTATCACAAAGCCAAACATAAAAGCCGGCTTTCTGCATTCTCTTCTTACATCTACTTAACTTCCCCAATGTATAAATATAAAGTGTATTCAATCATATAAATTAGGAAATTAACTCTTGGCAATGCTTTTTTTTTTCTCCTTTTATATTTGTATATTTTAGCTTTGTTTTTGTTGCCGAACCAGGAGATTTTCCTTCTTCACCTGGTCTTACACTTGTCAGTTCTGTAAGAGGTAAGATTTTTGTAATTGATGACAATAGTCAAAGAAATACCAGTTAACATCATTGTTTCATCAGTTTTCTACACAGGAACAATCTTAGAAATAATCTTGTCTTACATTGTGCAATGCTTGTGGGTTAGGAATACTGATTTCTTCAAAAGAGTGAATCAAACAATTATTTGGTATTAAACCTGGAAAATGTTCCTCTGCATGTATTTCTTTACATAACCAAGATAATTCTAATAATAATATATCATGTTTGAACAGAAAAAAATAGATGTGATTGTAATATGACCCCTGGATAAACAAATAAGAAAACTCCAAACAGATGTGCGTTGATCCTTTTATAGGAAACAGTGTAAGAGTTAAGTATTACAGACTGATTGTCTTTTTGGCAACCCACAGTTGTATCAATTTATTGTACTCTGGTAGAAGAACCAAAGAGATTTTGTAATTTATTGTAGAAATTCACAACCACGCAGCCATTGGCTACTCTAAATTTCCAGTTGTATCTATGGTATCATGCCAAATAATATTTCTGATTTTGTATACAGGCCAGTGTGCTCACAGTGTTGCAAAAAGGTAAGCTAAGCTTGGTGAAATTATAACTTATATTAATTTTAATAGATTGCCTCTTTAACAGTACTGCTCATTCTCAGTTTTATTTGGGATAATAGATGCGACTGCCCTCCAAGCCGTACTCCACTCTTCCTATCTTTTCATTGGGACCTTCTGCCTCACAAAGAGGGGAAAGTTGTATGAGGCCAGAAAAACCCTCCACTGGCCACCATCGGCCACTTCGGAGCATTGCCAGGTGAGCAAGGGACCTGGATCTTCAGAGCATCCTTTGTAAAAGAATAATGCTCCTTTTGAGGACTGTGATGACATGGCAGTTTTGGCCAGAGTGGGTTTGAGTGGGTGGGTTGGTTGGTTGATAATAGCTTATGTTTTGACTTGCACACAAATCTCCAAAACTTCTGAAAGGTAACTTATCATAGAATAATGGTTAGCTACTTGAAGGATACTTTAGTCTCATAGTTTATTTTTATGTCTCCTTTAGAAATAATTACTTTTGTGTGTCCTTTAAAAGTCATCTTTAAATCTGCCCTTGTTTTCAATGGAATTGAAAACATGCATATATCTTTCTTTCCTTTAGTTTTGGAAGAAACTCTGTTTAACCCTATTTCTATGTTTACAACCGTTTGCAACAACTTTGGCTTGACTTTCCTATTGTAAAGCTAGAAATGAAGCTTTATGCCATGAGCTAACAATTTAAAACGGAAAAATTTGCCTGAATGTCAATCCCTTTGCATTTAATGCAGAGTGAGGTTAGTGTTGATCCTTTAAAAAGATGGAAGAAGGTCAGGCCAGCTCAGGTCACACAGTAGCAGGGCCTGAGAGAGTTAAGATTTGATGCACCAGCCACCCACTGGCCAGGCAGGGGGCAGTCCCTGGCGTTAGTGCCAAATGCTAGATGGCATTAGGCAGATAGGCAAATTTACTTTTTTTGCACGTTTTTTAGTACTGTAATAAATTATAAGTAACAATACTGGATGCTTTAAGTGTTTTGTTTTTTTCCAGGTTCTCCTCAAAATCTAAGTCTGTGGACAAATCAGATGAAGAACTACAATTTCCCAAAGAGTTAATGGAGGACTGGAGTACTATGGAGGTGTGTGTAGACTGCAAAAAGTTTATTTCGGAAATCATCAGTTCAAGCCGGCGTAGCCTGGTGTTGGCCAACAAAAGAGCCCGATTAAAAAGGAAAACACAGTCTTTCTATATGTCCTCACCAGGCCCCTCAGAATACTGCCCTTCAGAGAGGACTATCAATGAAATCTGAGCCCTGTGCCTTTCAGTTGCTTTTGTGTTCAGAGCCAGCATTAGCTCTCAGGAGAACACTGAGCTGGACTGTCTCCTTGCCGTGGTTTTAGTTCATAGGCTTGATTTGCATTAGATCAGGGTTTTGCTGCATCACATTGTTCCACAGACTGAATGCTGTGTTCATATCAGTGATACGTGACAGGTCAGCCAATTGCTCATTTGCACTGAGAGGACAATAGTTGGAAACTTGTTTGTGTGTGTGTGGATTTGGAGGCCAGAAATGTTTTCCTTAGTTCGGTTCCTTATACTGTTCCTCAAATAATTTTCTGACTAGGGCAAAAAGCTTCTCATGTGAGAAACCAGCCTAACAAAGGTGTCGATGTTAGCACAGTTCTAAGCAGTAAGTCATATTGGCACTTCCAGCTGACAGTGTTCCCACTAATGTACTTAGTGATCCAGAGCCCTGCCACACATCAGGTACCTGAGGCAGGACCAGGCCATTTCTGATCCCACAGCACAAAGCCTGGAAGTATTTGCTCATACTGTCAAACTGAATTTAAATTATTGTTGCTCTGAGATAAAGAGTACAGGCAGGACTTTATGCCTGCATTTTAGTGCAAAACATCTGAATAAGCTGTACACCCAAGTGGTGACCATTTCCTGTGAGCTGCTGTGTTTGCCCTGGTACAGTGGATCAGTGTCTCCTGAGCCGGTGACAGGTTTTTATTCCCTATCTTGCATGTATTATGGTTACTTGTAGTTTTATAATGGAGGTCTAAGAATTAAAATTTTGTGGGAGTTTCTGGACAAAGGAAGGCTAAACATTTGTCGAGAGGTTGAGTGTATTTCAGTTAACTATGAAAATAGTTGTGACAGAAAAGTGCCAGCTATTGGCCTCACTGCAGAGAATGAGCTGGAGCTCATATATTTCCAACTACGGTTTTCATAACTATATAGTCTACCCATCATTACTAAATCAAGCCACAATTTGGTACCTAAGGTCTCAAACTGAAATTTATTTATTTTTATAATGAATTTTAGAAGAAAAAACCTTGTCTAGTTCTTTTAAGATTACAAGATAATTAACCTGCTAATAGGCTTTTTGAATGCTTTTTGCACAAGTTTTCCTTGTAAACGGCTTGAGTGAGTAGGATGGGTTTTGAGGAAGGTAGGTTGGAGGGTAGCATTGTATACCTGAAATTTCTCAGCTGGTTTACTTTACTATTTTGGTATGCTTACAAATGACCAACCAGTCAAATTGCCATTAATGTTTGGAAAATCAGCTAACGCACATGCGCAATAATTTTCTAAAAGCTATAGAACACATCTGTAGTCAACACTACAACATCACCATTTAATAAAAGGCATGGCAGTCACATTTCATACCACATCAAAATATAGTAACATTTCTGTATTAAATTAATGGTAATACCTCAAAACTGCTCTGGTAGTAGTTTTTAATGGATTGAAATTTACAGTTTAGTAAATGGCTTAAAATTACTTCTACTTATGAAATAAACTTTACCAATTGACTAAAATAATGCATGTTAGCAGCTGTCTGTATTTGCATGTAAAAGTGGGCCACCAGAGAACTCTTGTTGATTATGCAAATGTTTAAATTATTTTAAAGACTCTTGTTTAAGAGCTTTAAACATTATACTGGGTGGATGTCATTTATAAAATTTTCCAAGAGACTGTTTGAACTCTGTACCCCAAATGGTTTGGTGGGAGCCACACCCTTTGAAGGCCAAGGCTTGAGCATCTAAATGACTACCAGGAAGGGAGTGAGGAAGAGGGAATGGTATTTGTACATGTGTATTGATATGACCTAGGGTAGTGTACTTCTAAAAAATAATGGCTAGTTCACTGTTGTTTTTAAAACATTAGAAAATAAACCCCCAGAATGAGAATTGCATCTACATTCACAAGACAAATAGCACATCTCAATCTTTGACTTCACTTCTTCATGTGGTCTCATTTGGGCATTATGATCACCTCTTAGCAGAGTATTAAATGTAAATTCTTTGACAGCATTAACAAGGTTTGCCAAGTGTATTGAAAAGGTCATGTGGATAGTACATCTGCATGAGACAATTTGCAGAAAGTAGTGTAACAGAAGGGCACATGACACAGTGAAAATTGTAGAAATCAAATTAGCATCACTTTTTGTTGCCGAAACAATGTCTTCATTTATCCCTTTCTTATCCATGACATTACCCAACACCTCAACTAAATTAGGTAATTTCCAGAGGGTAGTTAACTAACAGCTTATGGAGTATGGTCTTACAATCCTCAGCCTAGTTTGACCTTAGGCTTAACTTCCTCGTCTTACTACTAAAATAACATACTTTCACAGTGTTCCTCTCTGTCCCGGTTTCCAGCTATTTGGCATTTACTTCTGATCCAGCAACAAAAGTGTTGTTGGCTAGCTGGTCTCAGCTGGAGCCTGATGTGTCTTAGAGCTGCTGTGCACACCTGAGTGGTCCTCCCTCCACGAACCCCCTCCCAACCTAACTCCCTCCAGGCTCAAGCACCCACCCTTTTCTTTGGTCCCATAGCACATGAACTCACCCTGTTGGGAGATCTTTATTTCCTTCTCCATAGCTTAACTTTCTGTCAATCTCAGAGTAATAAAAATACTTGTAAACACTGTAATATATTTATTAATATTTGAAGGCATTCATTCAGTGGACAATCGATATTAATTCTTCCAAGGCAAGTAAAAATTAAATAATTGATATGTACATAGACTTAACAGTCTTACTAGAGTTCAAGTCATAAGTCTTTCAAATTAAACCAGAAGATCGTTATGTAGGCATTTTTTAAATGATCTTACATTTGAAGAAATTATGTAATTAGCACCATGAACTCATACCATGAATTTTTTATGGCTTTTATTTTTCTAACTGTATTAATAAACATTTTAGGTGTCACATAGGAGACATGAAAGTTTTAAATTATGTTGCTATTTGCTAAAGCAAAATAGCAGAAAATTTTGTACATGCAAAACTGTTGAAGGGTCATGGAGAAATGTGTATGCTGACTGGACTTTGACCTGGCTTTCTGCGTGTATAAAAGTCAAGATATTGCTGGCATTCAGGATGACATGACAATACTACATGTTTTCCATTAAAATCTTTTATTTTTAGGGAAAAATAAATGACATTCCATCATACCTTTTGTGTTGAGTTCCTGTTGTAAAATGGTGATGTCTTTTGGTAATTAGCTGTCAGAAACCACCTAGGTTGGAAAAGCAAAATACTTTTATCATCAGCAGCTTATGATCAGTTTGAGAAAAAAAATCTAACTAGGACCATTAGAAAAATAAACAAGAATAGAGCCACCATGATAACTGCTATGTTACCAAGTAGTCATGACTCCTTTTTTACCTTAACAGGAAATAAAAACTCTATAAATAATATATAACATTTTATTATATAAGAAGTTGTGTATATGGAGACAAATTATATATAGAAAGATGGCATTTTTATATGTGTTTTCTAAATAGAATTCCTCAAGGGATATAGTCCTAAAATGTCCCTTGATGTTGTTATTGCACTTAAATTGCTTGAGAAAAAAATAGTAAGGTTAAATCCAGAATAAACGTAGGAAAGTTTTGTTTTGTTTTGGTTTGGTTTTTTAGATGAGCCTTTCTGCCACCTGTTGGCAGCTCAGCGGCAGCTCAGCTCAGGCCAGGAATCGAACTGGCAACCCTGTTGCTCAGAGTTTGCTCTCTTGAACAAGCTCTTAACCAACTGAGCCACTCAGCCGGCCCTAAACTTAGGAAAGTTTTTATGTTTTATGTTAACTAAGTAGAGACCATCATTTAAGGTATTTACATATCTTAAATATTACATGTACAGAGTTTGATATTTATATACACAAGCTACTCCCTTATTTGCCAGACATATTTTAAGATCTCCTTCCCCTGCACTTTCTCTGTGAAATGTGTATAACAAGACATTTTTGCGTGTGTCCAGATCGTAATCCAAATGTGCACTGACTTTCTCAGTCTAAGTCAGAATCCATGCCTCATGCCTTTTTGGATTCCAGAGATACAGAAACTTGATGTACCATAGAAGGGGACAGCTTTGCGTAACCTTTAGTTAAATATATCTTTCTTTTCCCCCTCCAGCCCCAGAGGAGGAAAATATATATAGTTGTAAATCATCATTGTCTAGAATTTCATAAAGGCAGCCCCTAAGAAAGGGCTTGATTGCCCATATGATGTGTTTAGAGACTCCAGATTTGTTATCTCTGCATAAGTACACACACTTGTACTCTGCAAGTACTCTGCAAGTACACACACACACACACACAGAGAGAGAGAGAGAGAGAGAGAGAGAGAGAGAGAGAGAGAGGTTCATTATAAAACTCATAAAGAGTGTGCTCCTTCTTCCCTCTTGTCAGCTAAACACCTGGGACTAGACACATCTCCGAAAAATGTTTAATAGCTAATAGCTATGAGCCAACTTAATTGAAAACTCTGCCTACACTAATTAAATGGTTGGGTGCAATTACCTGGCAGATTGAATTTGCACTACTATTTATTCTGGCTCATTTCATTAAAATGTGTATGATGTATAATTTGTATATTTAGAATGTATCTGGGCCGGCTGAGTGGTGCGTTGGTTAAGAACTGGCTTGGGACGCCAGAGGACCCCAGTTCGGATCCCACATATGAGGGCCAGTGACACTGCCCTCTACAGCTAAGATGCTGAACAACAGCTCAGTGTGGAGCTGGGCTGCCGTGA